CCCCAGCCACTTGAGCGCGCCGGGCGAGCTGCACGCGCCCACGTACGGCACGCACGACACCACGCACTGCGACAGACGCGACTCGAACGTGCACTTCCACGGCTTCGGAAGCTGCTTCACTCCCCTGCGAACACACCAAACATTCAAATATTGTTAAACCACCACCAAATTATTGCCATACATTATCCACTGTTACTTTGATTGTGTCAACAGGAAAAAAGAGCAATTAATTCACTTACTCGCTGGTGATAAGTATAATTTTGATGCACTTCTTGGCGATGCTTCTGTTGGCGCACAGGATGCAGTTCTTAACGAGGGCCTCGATGTGCCTCTCTATGACGGCGATGCACTCCAACTGTTGCGTCTCCACGGGGCTCTCCGCCTCCTTGTCCTGGCCCTTCTCCACAAGCCGCATACGCTGCAGCCGTATAGACAGCACCCAGTTAAGGAGATCCAAAGCGAGCCTACGTTCCTCGTTGCCTCCCTTTTTTGTAGCTATTTCGCAAAGCGTGTCCAAGAAAGTGTTGGATTCGAGCATAGCGATCCGTTGCTGCTTCTCCATCGGCAGCTCGGTGTGGGGACTCGACCTCACGGTTATCGATATCTGATGCAGCCAGTCGCAGCCGATGAAGCCCGTCTTTTTGGAGCTCTCGTTGGACTTGGTCGGGACTTTCGTCATGTCCTTGGCGGGATCAAATAGTGTCTTAATATGAATCAGGAAAGTTCTACCTCTCGCTCTAAACAAGCGAGGGCTCGTCAGTATCAATGTGCCCGACTGCTGCGTCAGATCCAGCCCGGAAGAGAGCAGCAGCGGCCCGGCGAGGATCTCCGCGTTGTGCGCCTGGAGGTACTCCTCGCTGTTGACGGGGTTCTCTATATTGGGTCCGTCGGAATCGATGACAGGGAAATGGACGGGCGATTCGGATCGCTGGCAGAACGATGCGTCCTTTTTGTATCCCACCCCGTGTAAATTCTGCTTCAATAGGGTGACCTGAATCACGGGTAAATTCCCTGTGCTGGCATTGTGCAAAGTGAAACTAAATTCTATATGTGCAAGTGAGACGCTGTACGGCATAGTCAACTCGAGCACGTGTTCGTCCCAAGTGGAAGACGTATTTTGTAGTCTCCAGCATCTGTTATTCTGGTGATCTGATCTCGATCTTTGCGCGGGGGACAACTCGCACCAGAAGCCCGGCACCACAGTGCTGTAGGGCACGGTGTCATTGGTGCCATACATGCCACTGAGAGTTATTAGAGTTTCCAAGTCCGTAATGTTCAATTCGGGCTTGTTAGCTATGATAGCGGGGGGGCTGGTCGGGCCGGTCAACGACTCATACCACAGCATGTCTAGATCTACATTGGAGAAATGGTCTTCGGCTACAGCTCCCGCTGAATCTTTGTCGCCATCGTTCAACGCATAGAAGTAGATCATGCCTTGTTTGGTGGCGACGCTGAGCCGCTCCACGGAAGCGCAGTACACGACCGACGTGAACTCACCGTTAGGTATACATTTTTCAGACAAGGTGTTAAAATCGGACATAGCATACATTCTTAAAGTACCGTCCACTCCGACCGCTGCGAGAGAACACTGGTCGTGTTTGTCAGCAGGCATGAGACATAAGTCCACGGGACTCTCATTGTATGGCAATTCTTTAACTAAAACGGGCTGATCGTCCAGAGTGTACACAGAGGTTTTCTTGTTAATTTTGTACAGTAAGAAATGAGCCTTCGAGTCTTTTACTGCGCTGTCGACTTCGCTCTCGTCCACGTCCATGTTCATGTCGCTATTGCCGTCCGCCTCGGGTTCCGGTTTGGATTTGTCAGATTCAATGGCGGAAACGACTACCAATAAATGTTCCTTGTCCTCTGTGGGCAACATGTGCGTTATTTTGGAAGCATCACTGATGTCCATGTCGTGCGGCAGACGGAGGCACTGCACTGCGACGATGGGGTACAACGCCTCCTCCTGGTTAGCGTCGCTGTCGAAGCCGTCGTTGTTGCTGTTGCTGACGGCTGTCTCTGTGCCGGGTTTGCATACCATGAATGGGGGGATCTTGATTTTATCCATACCATCGCTGTCCTCGTACCACTTTAAATCTGATATTTCCAAAGGTCCATTCATGTTGAAGTAGTGTGTGATTGTCGGTGCAATAGCCGAACCGATTTGAACCGCATCCGGCTGATCGACTATTTTGGTGCCGACAGAGTCCAGGTTGCCGCTCTTCCAGCTTTTCAGTTGCGACAGATTGCCGACGAAGTCGATGATGGTTGTCTGTCCGGGCTCCGGCAGCTCGGGCAGCAGGGCATTTGGGGGGGAAGGCGCTAGCACTTTGTAATGTTTCGCAAACATAATCTTCTTCGTGTCCCAAAATTTGCAGACCTCTTTGCTGGACGACGCATTTAAATTAATAACGTTACTAATGTGTTCATCTAACAAGTTCGTGCTCTGTGGAAGCTCGGTCTCCTCATCGGAGTACTGGAAGTATATCTCGTCGTAGATGTTGCCGTCATCGGCCCTGGGCACGGGCAGCAGCGGGATCTTCTTGCTGCCGCCGGGCTTGGAGTTGGCGCTGCTGTTGGAGGTGTGGACTACCGTGGCGACGGAGCCGCCCAGCGAGCAGTATATGTCGTAAGTCAGAAGGAAGAGCATTTTCTCCGAGGTCTGGTTGTTTTTAGCCTCGTTCTGGTCATTCATCTCCTTAATACCGTCGTCGGAGTGTCCGACAGCGCCGGAGTCGAACAGTGCCTTGCTGGCGTGGTCGCCGGGCGGCATGTCAGCTTGCGCACAGTTGGTTCTCGTCACAATAACTCCACATATAAGGGAGGGTTTCGACTTGACGCCGCTCGATTCCTTCTCGTTAGCTTCCGTGTTTTGATTTTGCTGGTAGTTGTCCTGTTTCGACGTCATGCCAATGAACGCCAGCGCCGTGAGCTCCAGGTCGTATGTGGCTGCAAAGAAATTTATAGCTTTACTTTTAAAAATGTTTATATTGTCATTACATTACTTTTACAGATACAACTCGTTTTACTTTAAATTATTACATTAAGGTATGTTGAAGTTTATAAACTTACATGTATCCTTTTCCAGGCTAGTGGACCAAACTTTGTTACTTTCTGTGGCCAGTATGCCGCTGAAGATGGAGTCGTACGGGGAGAGGTTGATGACATTGACGAACTTGAGGCCGCTGTCGAAGCGCCACAGCGAGACCTTCCCCTCGGCGGTGCCGGTCGCCACCAGCTCGCCCGTGTTGCCCTTCGACACCACCGAGATGTCGGGGCAAGGATGTGCGCTCGCAGTCGCATTTGAAACCTGAACCAATGTCAAGAACATATAGATTATTACACATTTTTTTATTTACTTATAAAACAAAGATAAGTATTATGTGTTATGGGGGTGGAGATACACCGATTGAGGTAGACGTAGAAAGCGATGAATGGAACGCGTGAAAGGTGACATGATCAAGAAAGGAGTGATGACTGAGATGACGGATGATTGAGTTAGTTGGATGACAAAATCCGGTGCGCCTTGCCTACAGGAGTAGGATATGGTAGGGGAAATGATGATGAGAGATTCTGTTAGTATGAGATATCAAATAGTACGTAAGTGTGTGCGTGTACACATACTGACCGAGATGGGCACGTTGTGCGTGTACTCTCCGCGCACGAAGGGGCAGTTGGGCGAGTGGCGCTCGTGCTCCACCCAGGGCTCGTCCGACTTCTCCCAGCAGACGAGGCACACCATGCACGTGAAGCACATCGCGCGGTCGTCGCCGCTCGGAGACGGCTGGTGGTAGAACCCCGCCTGTGCCATGCGCGCCGGCAGTGCCCATCTGCAAATCACCACTCTTTTATATCGAGAAATTGTTTTGTGTCAATTACTAATGAATACTACAGATAGAGTTGGGAATCATATTAATATGTTATATTAATATATTAATATAAATACGAAAGTTTGCATGGAAGGGTGGATGGATGGATGTTTGTTACGTATATTCAAAACGACAATAGATCTCGATGAAATTTACTTTTAGCTTGTTGTCTATAAATATGTTTCAGCACAAGAATGGTAACTAACTTGTAGTCCATATGCGGCCACCGTTTGAAGGTCTCCTTCCGCTCAGCCTCTGAGTACATGAGTGCGCGTGTCTCCCCCTCGCGCGCGCTCGGCATCAGCTCGTTGGCGCGCTGGCGCACCGCGGAGGCGATAGCGAGCGCGGGCACGCGCCGGTTCTGACCCTTTAGCTCGTGAACCACCGCCGCCGTCACCAGGCGGAACGTCACTTGCGGCAGGGAGATTGTCACTGTGCTCCACTGACATACAAATAAAAATGAAAAATCCAAATAACGAGTAAAATTTTCATTAAAAGCCCATAGATTACAAATATTTAGTGTCCAGTATAACGAACAACTAATTTTAAAAAATCTTCTGAACTAGTTTAGAAGAAAACACGTGAGATTTCATTTTAAAGTGTTGGTAACATAATTTGCTACAAAAAAAACTCCAAGTTTTTTACAACAAAAACAATTAAAAGTTTTTTAAGGGTTAAGTATAAGTTAACAAACAATAATTACATTGATAAGAAAGGAGGATTTCTTTAATCAACCCAGTAGTTTTAAATATAGTTGCAAAAATACAAAAAAATTGTTGTTAGAATACTAGTATAAAAGTCTTTAAACATTTTTTATAATAAAATAAACATTTGTGCATGTTCAGTGTAATGTTTATCTTAGCAAAGTATTTGCGTCTAAATCCGGTCAGCTGGGACCGGGACTAATGCTCGGTAGCAAAACTGTCGTTTACCAACGAAAATCGATGCGACCGTAGCGGACTAGCGGCTGAGATAACGAAGCCGAAAATAATAACACGGAACTCGAATTGATACAGTAACCTACAATGTTATTAAAACTGAACTAGGTACATGAAGGTGTATAAACTTAATTTATATTATCTCGTTAAAATAAATACAAAACAGTAATTAAAAATTCTGATAAAATTAATTTAATTTGTAACATCTAACAAAACTGAAAACTGAATTCTGATATCTCGGCGAAATAGTCTCTATAGTTCCGTGGCTAGTGAATTTTAAAAACAATTACAATATTTTTTTAAGATTATCTCTAGATATTATAATCGCTTTAACTAGACAACATACCTTTTGAGCTTTAACGCCTTTCCTAGCTGGTTCGGCATCGATTGCGGTCTTTAGTGCGTTGACAAAGTCCTGCAAGCCCTCGATCGCGTGTACATCCAAGTTCTGCAGGCACTGGTACAAGATGACCGCCTTGATAAACAAAAGTATTTTATTATTATTTCCATGCTAAATAAATTAAATAAACTTATAAGTACTTTCTTTTTTTTTTTTTCAATGAAGGATATTTTTTTTGTTCAAGTGTTTCTACAATGTAAATTGTCATTTACTAACAACGTAATAAGTATTGTAAATTACTTTATTAACTTTTTTTTGTTTCACAATCGAATATGTTTGTTTTCGAATAAATTGCATTTTAAGATAAACAAATTCACTGTATTTACTAGGATTCTGTAATGTGGGGGTGTTATTGAAACGGCGGTTGGTACTGAATTAGCAATATACAAATAAACACTTTTTTATGTTTTTTTTTAAACTTAAATGTTCTTACATTTAAGTTCATTAAAATTAGAGATTAAATTCGCGTTACTACCCCTTCGTCTTTAATTACACCCCTATCCCGTCTTGATATTTAATTGCCGTCAAGAACTCTTACCAGTGCGAAACATGTAATACTCAGTTATTCTAAACTTTAAAGGTATTTAAACTTTTAGACCGAATTCATATTACTTTAATTACGGTTTCTGAAGAGATAACAAAAAGAAAACTAAATGTAAAACAAAAACAAGCTTCATTGCACAGTCATTTAGATAATTTCGTCTAGGGTTTAAACTGGGATTACGAACATTTCTTAATTTAGCTTGTTAAAACGTAAACGGTAGCTTATCTTAAGTACTTAAGTTGAAGCTTTTTCAATAGACACAGACAAGCGTAGCATTTATTTTATTTGAAAAAATAAATGGTAACAATTTAATTAAATTGATATTATCTTCCGATAAAGATAAGTATTTTTAATGCACCTAAAAATGTATTTAAGAATAATGTAAAAGATAAACCATTTAAAGCTTCATCGAAAGAAGATCGAAAATAACAAAAACACAGTAACAATCAAAGAAAAGAATTACCAACCTTAAAACACGTAAAAATCTCGGAAATTACTAAATCTTAAGAAAAATAAAAGAGATGTTTTGGCTCAAAAATTCCATAAAAGAAAAAAAACAAAGATAACATAAACTTTTATTATAATACAGCCTATAAAATTTACCAAAATTGCTCACTCCAAAAATACTGGCCGATATAAGGTACAGTTGAAAGTAGAATTAAAAAACTACCCACCTTACTCGTCGAAAAATAAACCATCTTGTATAACATAATCTATAAGTTTGTTTACAACTGCTAATTAGTAACTGAACAATTCAATACTACACCTACACTGATAAGACAGCAAAAGGATTATACAATTGGTTAAAAATAAAACGGCAACGTGATTTATCTTCGATGCAGTGATTTAAGTTCTCATATGAACTAACAACATTAACTTGAAAAGGTATTCATTTTATATTATTTTGACTATCTATCCAGTATGTACTGTAGATAATAAAAGTCTAAATTAAATTGTTAACCACATTAACATCGATAACAGTCTGGTTTAGGACCTATCGACTGTCAAGGACTTGTAAATGTGGTAAAATTCACAAATCTACGCCATAGCAATGTTACTAATGTTATAAATGCGAAAGTTTTATTAGATGGATGGGAGAGTAATTGAGTTTGTAGCCTAAACTGCTGAACAGATCTCAATGAAAGACATAGATGTACAATGTCTGGAAGAATACATAGGGAACTTACTAAGAGTGGCTGGCGAAATCAAGTAAACAATGAAATGCCTAATTCCATAGTGAAGTTGCAACATGCATGAAATGTAGCTAATTTCACTTGCATCTATCGTATCTAAAACATCGCGTGGTACTGCCGTAGATGACTAACACATCTACATAATGTAAGCAATTCCAACAGTATCGACTTGTCGACTAATTATTAACTAATGATTTATTCTCCGCATATTTCTGACCGCGCCTTACGAGATCCGCAACCAATAAACCGTATTTAGTTATTATATAGGCTTTTCTTGAGTATGCATACTCGACATATACTATTATAAAAATTAAATACCAGAGTTTCGATAAAAAAAATGTTCTTATAAGGATTACGTAACGACGAGAAAATAGGAAAATCCGCCAGTCCAACGCCTAGTAACGAAAGCGATAAGTTATTGATTGACGTTGGGAGACAACTATCGAGACGATATATCGATACTGTAACATCGATATCAAACATCGGAACCCGTAACTATCGATATGTCAATTAATCGAAAAATATAATATACTGTGTAGTAAGAAAATGTAACAAGTAAGCTACACTAGTTTACGTAGAGTAATAATTAAAATCAATTAAATGACTGTTTGCCCATAGACATCATTTTCAAGATGCGTCTGACTTTCAGACAATCTGTGCCTCGCATTAAAAACAATTTCTTTAAGCTACAGTACAATACATAATTAATTTGGTTTCTGTTACCGAAATATTGATAGAAAAACATATGTCTTATTCACTCAAAAAACGATAACTGTACATTTTTATATTAATTCAACCAACCACATTCAAACGAAAGAATGTTTCAAGCGAAGAAAGTCACGTGGAGCTTACTATCTTCTACTATATTTTTCTTCTTAACATCTCCCTATTTTTTTAACTGTATAAGGTGACAAACCAAAACCATGCAACTGCTGCCCCTAGGACACCCACAATTGCAGATGTGTTGACTACCTTTAATCAACAAAGGAGGTGACACACAGAAAGGGTGTATTTCCCCACCTGTCCATCTCATCCCCGCCTAGTACTTTTCCTTGTTCCAACCTTCCGTGTATAAAATAGATAAAGAGGGCCAAATTAAGTTTCCGGCTCTCAGACTCGTCAGATAAAATGCCAAATGGCTTTGACTACACGACAGTTTTATTGTGATATTGCACCAGGTGAGCCAGTCTGTTCACTGAACACTATTAAAGATGCTAAAGTGAACAGTCATAAATATACAAGCCTTTTGTCTTTTCCTTGCTATATCGCATAGATAATATAAATTCAGCTCCTCGAACACTTTATAATACATTATTGAACCATTACATAAAATAAAGCTGGTCCCATCTGTGGTCAATTCTAACTCCCTGCTACGAAATATCCAAAGTTGCAGAAGATTAACGTATTATAAATAAATCATCTTAAATTGAAAATATTGCATATTGGATCTGGTAATTTTTGTCTACCCCTACTAAGGATAACATTATATGTGTTGCAAATGTATTTGCATTAGGCATTTGCATTCTTCACATCTAAACATAATTCTGCTTTTACTGTGTAACAGTTACAACCACAAAATCTTTAGTCTCCAGTAAAGTAGCTTTTGCCAATGCAAAATAATCGACGAATGTTGATAAATATATATGGTAATTCAATTCTTTAATGTAAGTTACGAATCGGTACAATTAGAAAACAATAGGTATTCCAAGACTAAGAAGGGAGTGATGACTGAGATGACGGATGATAATAGAACTTTGGAGGATGAAAACCTGCACAGACCCTACGGGAACAGGCTAAAGCAGGGGAGATGATGATGAGGTATTCCAAGATTAGGTTAAAATATTACACTGTCAATACTTATCATGGATTTACACTATCAAAATACTCCTAGAATACCATAACAAAACATGGAATTTAGGAAATAACAATGTTAGGACTTGAGCTAGCTAATAACTATATTTTTTAATTTAGTCGGAACTGTGTGATTGTAGTAACTTTAATACTTTTACTTTTTATCTCTCATTATGCATATTCATTGTGATAGTTGCCATATTGCAGAAATTAGCAAATTGATAAAATGATAATTTCACTATAATGATCAATAGGTGTACCTCTGAGAGGACGAGTTCGATCTTTATGACGGTCTCCGGCTGCGGCGAGGGCAATCGGCGCTGCAACGCCGTGTGCAGCAATAACACCCCGTTGTAGTCCGTGCGGGCGCCGACACCACTCCTGTCCCATAACAACACACGGTCCGCTCCCGATGCATATTCCACGCCCACGGTACCACCTTCATCTAGAATTAAGTTATAAGTAATGATTTCTAGTAATCGCAAATCCGGCAGAATTGGAATTGTTTACTGAAATCTGTCAAATCAAACAATGTAGGACATTGAAAAAATCAAGTACGAAAATCATTGCTACAACAATGATGGTGAGGAATCACTTGTTTTTCGCTATCGAGCCACTTCGACTTACCCGCTGATAGAAAAGATGACTGAAGAATCACACCAGAGTTCACATCCAAAACGTGTACACCGCCCACATCAGTCTTCACCAAAATTATATTTAAGTTACTATGGTACGTTAAAGAAGAAACAGGAAAGTTCATACGAATGTACCCATCTTCCCGTAATATCAAAGAATCATCGCCCATCGTGGCCGTGAACACATCTGTCTATTCTACGTAAACGCCATTTGTAATTATATTTTTTATGTCAAATACTTTATCGACAACATGGCCAGAGTCAAAAACTAAAAATCAATCGCGATCATTTTCATTATCTGTATTTTCAATGCTTACAAAAACTTTTTCAAAACTGTTAATATAACTTCTATTTACTTTAATGATGTGAAGCAAAATTGCTAAAATCGTTAAGTACATATTCTTCTTAATCATCTTCTTAAATCACTTGTATGTTAAAGGATAATAAAACGGACATAACCCAAATACTAATTTTTTTTTTACATTAAAACCGTCATAAACAACACTAACAAAGATTACTTTTATGCGTCCTTTATTAATTATTCGTGTAATTTACATACAAGGTTTCGGTGTTTTTTAAGGACGCATCTGGCAACTCATGTCTAACTCTTGTCATTGTTGCTTATTGTTGGGGAAAGTTAATGATGGTCATGGCAAAAGATGATATTTCTTTGTTTAAACCAAAAGGTATATAAACTAAAGATGTAAACCAGATATTTAGAGTTAATCTATAAATGTAGCCAACAGTGAAAGTTAGAGGAATCTTTTCTTTTTAACTTAAATATTTACTTGCTTAGCCAAAAAAAAACAAAGCAGAACAACTGACAAGGGTAGATAGAAATCTTGTTTTAGGATATTCTAGGCATTTAATCAGTAGGGATAATCATATTAATTCAAGTTTTTGAGGAGACAAAATAAAAAACCTAAAAAAAACATGTTTATAACTTTATTTAAAAAAATATAAAAATGTGAATGTAAAAGTGTAAATAGTAGTTTAAAAGGACTTATACAATATAAATATAATATAAATTGGACGAAATTCTAGTCTTTTTGTGATTTTCAGATTTTTAATAACCTCTAATTAAAAAAGAGTATGTTTTTCACAATCTTAGTGTAAATATCAATGTAACAGTTATTTCAATTAACATAAATATTTAAGACTCCATAAATAATAATTAAATTATTAGCAATAAGCAGAAAAAACATAAATGTTAATATTAGTACAAAGTATTACGAAAATCGACACTTAATTATATCAATTTTATATAAAACAGTATAGGCGTCAGATTGAATAGTATTAGGCGATCCGCTGCTCGTTCCTTCTATTACAAACAACCATCTATATCTATGGTTAGAATAGGGCCTGTCCCACCACTAGCTAGAGGCTTAGATAGCTTAAAAATGTCGAACTGTCAGAGAAAAAACCCCTAGTTCCATGACATATTTTACATGTTAGATTTTTATTAGACAATTTACAATTAGGTGGGACAGGGCTTAAAATTCCCAGGAGTCCAGCCATTTTAAGCCGGTCATAGTGGAGTTAGGTTCGTGTGCTAAAGGCCCCGTCATGCCGTACGCCAACGGAGAGAACAGATAGAAGCTGTACACTGTGGACGAGAGGACGAGCCCAAGCGCGCACTGGTACACGC